GCCGTCCCGCGTGTGCGGGGGGGGGGGGACTCCAAGGAACTTCACGGAGAAGAACCGTTGCACGGTTCACATGAGAACCTCATCTCTCCCATGACATGTCTTTCTTTGACTGCTTTTGTATATTGAGAGATAACTCCTCCCTTATTCATTGCAATTCTTCATTGTTCCTACAGGTTTGCTGATTGTGAATGCTCCAAAGACAGGAGCATTAAGCTTTGTGAACTATGAGGACATCTGCTATAGTGGCGGAGACCTGCGGCCACCACAGTATTATTTCATTCATCAGCCAGCCTGGTATGATAGTGTAGCAGGAAAACAGATATATCATTAATATGTAATGTCCTGGATGGATGATTATTTATTGATTATTTATCAACTAAAATTTTAACACTTTTAATCTAAATTCAGCCATGAATCAGGACAGAGGTGAAGTATGTTGGAAGGGATGAACTGAACTGAACTGAACTGGCTGGCTGGCAAACTTACCAACTGACCAGCTAGCTAATTAACTAACTACTTAATCACTAGCTGACATTTATTAAACCAAAATGTGCTCACAAAGGACTCCTGCAGAAATGAACTGGCACATGCAGTAACATGTCTGACATGTATTTGCCCAGTTTGAATCTCTGAGGACACTGTCTTGACTGAGTTTCTCTGTGGTTTTCCTTGATCCCTCCAGGTAAATATGGTACCTCATATTAGGCCATGACTACTTCCGTCTGCATCCTTTCTAATTTATGATTACCTCATCTTGCTGCCATTAATGCTAAATAGTCAGAGCTACTGATAACATATTAAATAAACTGTAAATAAATAAAAGGCCTCCGTTGGTTCCCATCTTCAGCTAGCCTTGTCAAGTTCACACATTCACAATCAATTTCTCTAGCCCTATTTTAATATTATCCCCAATCCCTGTTTTGTTTATAATAAATTAATAGTAAGTATAATGAGGTGTGCCAGATTTGCAGAGAATGCATTTGGAAAGATATGTCCAGCAGTAGATTTGTTTTGTGTGTGTCATAATGTTGTTTGTTTCTCTGAAAAATGTGCAAAGTTTGTTTCTCTATTTTGTTCACAGGAGTATACTTATGATGGCATCAGCAAATAGCATGGAAGTAGGCGTTATGGGCTTGCAGGAGGATCAAATTTCATGGGAGCAGTGGACCCAGGAGGATGCTGCTCGAGCTGAGTTGCCCCTCTCACTGAACAAGCAGGAGACATTTCCTGTGGGCTTAGGGTTGGATACGAGCACTCAGCATGAACTTCCATGGGGTCAGTTGGAAGTCCTGTCATTGAAAATGTTATTAGTAAGACAGATAAGATAGGATTCTTCATTATCATTATAATCAACCTTTCCAGTACAAGCCTGGTCTCAAACTACATTGTCTATTTGGTTGGTATTTTAAGATCATTTTTTGATGTTATCAGAGCTTAATGTTTCACTGTGTTCATTAAAATTTCTTTTGTATTGCCCTATAAATTGTATTTGTGGAATTCCGCAACTGAATCTAAGTGCATAGTTCTCAGGGAAGAGAAAATGGATGAAATCAATTGCAGACTTAAACATTCTCTTCAGAAATGCCTCAGACCCCTTGCACAGGAAACCAGGGTTTCAGATTTCAAGTTTACTGTGTTTCTGAAAAAGAACTTAACTGTGTGAATGTAAACTTTATGTTGATATGCCAGGAATTTGTGCATAATAACAGAGATGATTTCTGGCGTCAGTTGTAATCTGCATAAGTTTTATTTGTCCTCTGGAAGGGTTATACTCATAGGCTTGTCAGTTCTGCTAGTGCTCCATGCCTCCACGACCCTCCTTGGTGGCAGGAGCATCAGATTTTACCACCTGAGTTATTCAGCAGTTTGCAGGAAGCTCAAAGATTTTTGTATATTCAGATGTAACTTATTTAAGCCAAAACAAAGATTAGCTATGTTTTCTGAGAGGTTAGTATTGCAAGGTATTACACCTATATACTTCATATCCTGTTACATCAATATATGTGAATTATCTGACTGATTCGTGCTTGTTATTTTTAGGCCTTAGTAAAGTTCATTGTAACAACATGCATGCGTTTGGTACTTCATTAAATTTGATGTCTTATAAGTAGTAAATAGTTTATTGATGTGAGGTATTTATGTTCAAATGATTTTTTTAAGTAATGGTTTGATCCTTGCAGAAGAAACTCCATGTGTTTGAAGGAAACTATGATGTTTGTTTAACTCATGATTTTAAAAGGTAGTGTTACCGCAGTAATTGTATTGTGGCTATTCAACTGGAAAATAATTATAATTGGATGATTTGTCATGATTACAGGTGACAACCAGAGAATTGCTCCTATGCCTGTGCTTCACATTTTGTCCCATCAGGGTGTGCTGTGTCTCTTCTATGCAGTCAATCTACGACCTGGCGCTGCTTGCATCTGCACACCACCTGAGAAGTTACAAGATGAGAGTGGCCTAGCATTGTTTACTACTGTTACCATGCGAGATCAGAGCGGTGCTCCACCTGAAGTTATTCTGGCTGCATCCCCGAACTTTATTACAAGGGATGATGTACCAAAAACTCCCAATCAACCACTTGAGTTTTCAACACCATTACATAGTGGAAGTGCAGTAACATCACCAGGTGATGGTCAGGGAGGAATGCGATCTCACCTAGCACAGGAGTAAGCAGTTTAATGTATTATTTTATAATGTTTGACAAATCAACCTGAATACAAGCATACAGAAAATGCTGATCTTTATTTTCCAACTGAGGCACGTAATTGTGTTTTCATTTGTGGCCTGTCCCATCGCATTTTTCATGCTGTTTGCTTCTTACCTGTCAGTTGGTGCAGGTCTCTTATTTTCTCATGATGTGACTGCATGACTTAAGAATGCAGGGTGTTTCTTACTCACCTGGCCAAGAATACCATGCTTTTATTGAACTTGAAGTTTCAGTATATGTGCTGCTTTTTTTAACCCACATTAAAAATACGTTTTGGAACATTTATGTTGTTTGTGGGAAACAGATACATATCCATTTCATGCGTGCAGACATCCCATAAAGAACCGAATGTACGCAGTGCATCTTTTCTAAATTGCACCCATGTTTTATGCTATAAAATTTGATACTTTTTGAGTTGTCATAAAAATTTACATTTCTGTTGAATTGTCATTAGCATTGCAATTAGTTCCCCTGTGGCACAAATTGTTTTAAACCTTGTGCCTCTTACCTTTCATGTTGGCTTGAGTTACAAATTAACCTTTATTGTTTGCAGTAATGCAAATAGACTATATGTGTGTGTTCAGTAGGACTCCTTTCATGTTGTCTTTAAATTTTAAGTACAGCAGAAAACCAAAATGAGCATGAATGCAAATGTATGATGCCAGTTAAAAATTATGTTTGGACACAACAAAACCCTCTGTTCTTGAAAAACAGTGTGGGCAGTCATTCCAAGGCTCTATTCATGGAGACTTTTCAGAGGTTAGAAGAAATGTAAATGACTCTGCTTGAAATATGAAATAGAGATGACTTTTCAGATTTGAGATTGCAATGGCAGTGACTGTTGAGAGTTAGTGTGTTCTGGGATGTGACACTATATAATGTGGTAGATGTTTACCTGCATTTCAGACGATCCTGTTGCTTCCAGCATCTTAGAAGAAGAGTGATACATGTCCATCAGCATACATGGTATCACATCGCAAAAGACAGTAATCTTCACAGTCCTTAGTATTTTCTGTAAAGTATTTTATGTTCTCACTATAGCTCATACCGATTGTTGGTTATGCATTGAGTCAGATCCATGTGAAAAGAGAACATGCCATGAATGAGAACTGGCTGAAGTATGCATAAATCACACCCCTTTATTCTTCTTTGAATGGAAAGTTTGGAATGAAAAGTGTGAGCTGTATAAGCACAAATATGATACACTGTATTCATGCTGAATGAGTTCCTGAGGTGTGCTGAAGTCCGCTGTAACAAGATTATACTCTGTGTTATACTGTTGATGAAGTGAAAGAAATGTATGGGATGCCAATTCAAGATAATGCTTTTGAGGGCAGATGTATAAATTCTTATCTTTTTTTTTTTCCCCATTTTTCCAGCTTTGAGAGCATGAGTACATCACAGGCATCTGGTTCATTCGGGTTTGGTACACCCCTACCAAGTGTGTTGTCCAGTAGCTTTCAAGCTGGCTTGACTAATACACCATCCATTAGTTTTGGTGCTAACACAACTGCTGCACCAGCTACTAGTTTTGGTGCTGGATTAACTGGTACACCACTATCTGGTTTTGGTGCTAATCTGACTGGTACATCATTTCCTGGCTTTGGTGCCAATCTGAGTGGTGCAACATCATCTGTCTTTGGAACTGTTATGAATAACCCATCAACCACCAGCCTTAGTACAGGCTTCAGTTGTACGTCTACTAGCAGTTTTGGCACAGGCCTGAGTAATCCACCATCTTCTGCTTTTGGTACAAGCCATGGTACAGCATCATCAATAAGTTTTGGCACAAATCTTGTTACTCAGTCATCCCCTGGCACTGTTTTGTCACTGAGTAATCCACCAAGCACTGGGTTTGGTGCAGGTCTAAATCTATCTGGCAGTGTTGTTCCTGCAGCAAAACCAACATTCAGTTTTCTTTCAAGCTCATCTACAACTGGTGCCTCTAGCTTGAAACCGGCTCCATTACAGACTGCTACCAATTTCACTTTCACAGCACCTGCAATCACTTCATCACTGGTGACTCAACAGGTATGATTTATTGGAAATAATTGTTCAAAGTATAGATTAATGTTAGAAAATTAGCCGTATTAATTCAGTCAGGAAAGTGATTGGGCTATGGACTGGTCAGCTGATATTTAGTTCTTGGCAGGGGAGGAGCGTCCACAGCTGGTTAATAATCTGTAATTGCCACCAGGATGCTGTTTCCACGTGGGATGTCATTATATGAAGAGACAACCACTTGTTGAACACTTCTATAATATTTATTACAGTTGCACAGTGTACACGGATGAACTTGAGTTTGAATAATTGAAGACTAATAATAATAGTGAACTCTGTAACACCTTGAACTGAACTAGAACGGTAGAACTCTAGAACTGTAAACTTCAAGTCAAAGGCAAAGTCACATTGCGACTGACGATCAGTCAATAAGTCTGATGGGGGCTCATGACCAGATATTTACCTTTTGACAGTTATGGTCTTATTTTTGTGAGGAGCCCTCTCTGACAAGAGGATGGGTCTGTCTTTTGCATATGCTGCTGGCCCTTGCCAGCATGGTCTTTCTCGGGTCCGAGTCCCTTGGGACTCGCGACCATATTTTAGTGTCTCAGATTTGAGATTTCCCCTTTTTGTCGCCTCCTATGACTTGCAGGGTCACAGTGGAGGTATTCGACCCTGCTTCCACACGGGGGTGTAAACTTCCATTCAGTGTATCTTCTTATATCACCTATAGTCGCACCTATAGAAAACCTGTCACTGTCCGTATTGTTGTAGGTTTTGCAAAACAACAGCTGTTTACTTGCCATTGCTAAGCAATGATACTTGCGTTGTCACTGTAACATTTGCTTGAATGTGGGCAGTTCCCACACACTCTTTAGTGCTAAGATAAGTTAAACAGTAAAGTTGGCAGTGTGCATAATTAATTAAGCATTATGCTATGAAGACATTTCAGTCAGTCTTAATGACACAAATACGTATACAATAATTATTTATTTACATGATTAATTATTGTCAGATTAATTTTCTATTGAGGTACTTAAGTAGGATATAGTATAAATAATTTATACATATAAAATCAATATTTCCAGATTTCAAAACCAGCAACTCCACTGGTAATTCCTCAGCTACCGAGTACGTCAATTAAACCACAACCCAGCTTCCTTGGCAGCAGTTCAGCATCATTATTGCAGAACCAAGAACAGACGGTTGACAATTCAGTCACTGTTACTAAAATCCCATCTGCATCAGTTCTTTCATCTCAGTCAGCTAAGACTGAGGCTCCTGGAGTGTTAGAAGATAAGGTGCCAACAAGCCAGATGAAGCAAGTCACACCCCCTCCAACTGCTGCTCCAGCGAAACCAGCTGTGTCCCAAACAGTCAATAACAGCGTATTTTATAATGCCATCAATGATGAAGTTGTACACTTTGGTAATGAACTGGCTGCATTACGTTCCAGAGTTAATGGAATTAATGTTCAAGTAAGTAACATTATTACAGATATTCTCATTCTTAGATTTGTTTGCTTTACATTGATGCTTCCACTTTTTACCACTTCCCTCAGCTGTATTCTGATTTCACTTGATCTTGTTATATTTTAGCATCCCGTTGCACTGATTTATGTCCATGATTTATTCTGACTGTCTTACAGTGCATACATTTATTCACCTTACTCTTCTCTCTTGCACAACATATTTCAGCACTAAAGTGCCATCTTCAGGTGCTTTTCTATGTATGTCAAACTACTTCATTGCAAGCTCTGTTGTCCTTATACTAAAATAACTAAAATATATATTCATCATATATAATGATAAATTTTAAATATTAAAACTGTTCTGGATTTGTCATCCTTATGTCGTATCTCAATACGCGAGTCACATCTGTCTTCTTCTATCGGAGTATTCTTCCTACTTTCATGTATGTATTGTGCTTTGTGTTGTGTCTTGCTCCTGTGACTGCGTGTGTTGAAGATGGCACTTTAGTGCTGAAACATGTAGTGCAAGAGAGAAGAGTAAGGTGAGTAAATGTATGCACTGTCAGACGGTCAGAATAAATCATGGACATTCACTTGATCTCCCAGTTGATCTTAATTTCATGCTTGTATGTAAAGTTTCTTTTGTTATTCCATTCTCACTTATGTGCCTGATTGGTGTAGTTACTGGCCTGGTTGTCTCCAGCTGTCATGTCATGAAGTACACAGAGAAGAGATAGTTGTTTAGGTAGTCAAGACATTTTGCCATGGTACCTGTCCTCAATCAAATGAAACTAGTCCACATTCTTGTACCTAATTTTTTAAGATCCATTTTTATATTATCCTCTCATCTATGCCTAGATCTTCCAAGATGTCTCTTCCATTTAAGTTTTCTGATCAGAATTTTATATGTATATTTTTCCTCGCTCATGCATGAAATACATAGCTTAACTCGTCCTTGGTTTAAACATTGTAATAATATTTGGTGAAGACTACAAATGAAGCTCCTTGTTATGTAGTTTTGTTCTGTCTTTGATTTATTCTTCTCTCCTAAGTTCAAATATTGTCCTCTGTACCCTCTTCAAAATTTCATTCACAAAACAAATGCACTTCTGCCCAACTTGTAGCTTGTTTATGCTTCATGTGGGAATTTATGCCTTGTATTTTGTAGTGAGAAAGATTCAGTTTTAATTATGATTATTTTAAGATGATTTTTGTGTGTTATAATTAGGTGGGAACTGGGGAAGAAAAAAGGAACCTGTGTGAAAAAGCAGATGCAATGGATATTTTCTGGCGGGACCTGAAGGACACAACGCAGGCTCAGAGTTCGGAAATACGTGGCCTGAAGTCTGTGCTTATGGAAGCTTTTGCTTGGGTTGAAGAAGCAAAATCTCGATTACAGCAGCTAAACTGTCCCATGTATGTATGTGCTAAAATACGGAGTTTCAGAGACCTACATTTTATGTTCATTGAGCCTTTTGTTTTTAACCCTTTGATGTGGTCATTTAAATTCCGCGGCCGCGGCTCCTGCGGTAATATATTCAGCCGGCCATTTAAATTTTGCTCGAAAATTATTTATTCATCATTGTTCTTAAATTCTATGAGATAGGAACATGAAACTTTCACTAAAATGATCTTAAATGGTGGTTTTATAACCTTACCTTATAATATG